ACTCAACACCGGAAACCGACTACCACCTAATTACTGCTTAAGGTGCAGTTTATACAAAAGTACACTCACATTCTTATCATGGGTGATTGCAACGTACATTGTTTAGAAGCCCCTACCACGATCGGAGAACAATTCAAAGCCGACCTACAAGATCTAGTAACTACTGTTCCTCTTTACAATCACATCACTTTGCCCACTCGGTTCAGACCAGGTAACAGGCCATCTGTGCTGGATCTTGTGCTTACCAATGAGAAGCATATGATTGATGTGTTGGTTTAGAATGCTCGTTGGGTCGCAGTGTTCACGCCGTGATCAGTTTCAACTTTCTCTGATACGCAGAATATCAGAATGAGAACGACGAGACTGTGCGAACCATCACAAGCTACGATCAAGTAGCCCAGTTCGTCAGCGCCACTACTTGGTCGTTCCTTGACGAAGAACCTCCGGAAGTCGCCTGGTTCGAGTTCTTCAACAAATTCAGTCAGCTGATTGCAGAGCCTTTAAAGATAAGGGTTTGCAAAAAAATGTACGTCATTTTCTTTCGTTAGGAGCAGAACTGGAAAATGGATGACAGTAAACAACGCAGCATGCCGAGGGTACAGAGCAGCTCCATCACTAGAAATTTGGGACAGCTGCGTAGCTCAAAGTAACCAATGCACTCAACTGCTAAGAGAAGACAAAGCCGCCTAACAGCAGAACATCTCAAAAAGCTTTAATGCTAACCACAAACTGCTGTTCAAGCACGTCAATTGCCTAAGGAAGTTGAGGCAAGGATTTTATCCACTCAGGACGGTTGATGGCCCAACAAGAACGTCTATGGAAGCTGCAAATGCGCTGCAGATGCAATACGCCCCCACGTTTCAAAGGGTCTTGCCACCAAACGACATACCAACCTTTGTCGTCCCCTCACCAGGACTACCCACATCACTTTTACACGGAGAATGTGTTACAGAATCTGATGTCTCTACGCAAACACAGGTCGCCGGGTGTCGACGCCATTCGTCCAGTGGCAGTGGAAGCAGCAGTCGGCCAACTGGCAGGACTTTAGCTCAGTTTATCCGGCGCTGCTTAGACCAGAATCAAGTTCTCGCTATGTGGAAGCTTGGAATAATAACCCCTATTCACAAAGGTTGAAGCCGATCCGATCCCTCCAACTACCGCCCAGTATCCCTTCTTCCTATACTCTCCAAGGTCATGGAATCCATAGTTGCCGATGCACTGGTGTGCTGTCTGGAAAACTGTAACATCATCACACCTGAGAAACACGGTTTCCATTGATAGCGGTCATGTACAACGAATTTACTAATCGCACATAGTAGTTGGACCGAGGCGGCTGAAGCTGAAGCAGGCGTTTATGTGATCTACCTGGATTTTTCCAAGACTTTCGATCGTTTAGACCATCGGATACTACTCTCCAAGTTCGAGCATTACCGTACGGGCGATCCTCCTTTGAGCTGGATTGCCAACCTTCTACTTCAACGGCAATTAGTTGTCAGAGTTCGGAGCTCTTCATCGAACCCCATACAAGTTGAGTGTGGAATGCCGCAAGACTCAGTTCTAGGTTCACGTTTGTTTTTGGTGTTTATTAATGACCTTGACAGATAATCGCTTCAAGCACCCTAGTGTTTGCCAACGAGATCAAGATCTGGCGCAGGATCCAGGAGAACGCCGGCGAACATGTGCTTCAGTGTGTATCAATGGTCAACCCAAAAGTTACCGCAATTTGACGTCAGTAAATGTAAGGTGCTTTGCATCCGACATCAGAGCAGCTACTCATACCGGCTCCGAACGAATATACTGAAACAATTTGCTGCCGAACGTGACTTGGTTCTCCTGATTCAAGATGACTTGAGTTGCTTCAGGCAATAGGAAAAGGTCTCGAAGACTGGAAACCAACATGTCGAGCTGTTGCGACGTTCGTTTTGACAAATAAACAGCTCTATATTTCGACGAATGCTCAGTGCGTATGTTCGCCCCATGTCGAATACACAATTCATGCCTGGCATCCATGGCTGAAACACGACCTTAATGCACTGGAGCAGCCACAACGCCGGGCATCTAAGAACGTAATTGGAATGCGCAATCTTTCCTACCAGGAGAGGTTGCAACGATTGGGGGTGTTCAGTGGAAGCTATCGCAGACTACGAGGTGACCTGATTATGGCATACTTGATTCTGCGAGACCCACATCATGTGTGTCGCCCTTGACTGAAACTGAGTAACAATACAAACCTGAGGAGCCACTCATTAAAACTCGCAGAACAATACAGTCGTCTGGAGTGCCGCAGAAATTTCTTTTCCATTCTTGTCTGTCACCCGTAGAATGCTTTTCCAGAATCGGTCGTCTCTGCACGGACACTAACAGTATTTACAAGACGGTTGGACGATGCACGCATCCACTTACACTTTGTTACTTAACACTACGTCTCCATCCTACACCTGGAGCATACCATGGAATTATTTGTTGTTAACTGTGGGTACTGTGAATCTAAGTGGATCGCGAGACTACAGCGGAGCAAACGATAAGTCCCTATTTTCATGATTAAAGTACTAACTGTTTTACTGCCATTATTGTTATGTCGATATCCTCAGCAACTATCCAACAGGACTTGTAAAGCAATGCTTCTTAACCCGTATACATTCATTGTTTCTTGTTGAAAGGGGTCACCGGTTATCAAAACTGGTCCACTAAGGTTATCGCTGCCCCACTCACGCCATCTATTGGCATAGTTGAAACAAGACACGAGGTTGGGTACTCCAGTATGGATCCTTGTCAATTGCAAGACGAATTTTTCATTCGCCCATAGCATTTTTTGATCGAATTTTCGTTAGACCAAATCAAACTAACAGGGTGTTTGGTGAATCCAGGAAGGACTGAGCAACCAGCTCCAGCTCACACACTTTTCTAGGGTCGATGGAATGTTGTTATTATACCTAGTAGTAACAGAAGAAATCTAACGATGTACAGAAACAAAACTAAACATCGTAGTTACCGGCCACTTCTTTAATGCCAGGGTATTCACTTAGAAAATAGTGCTGAGTAAAGGGTGATAGCAGGCGAGAACTTATAGTTTTGTACTCGGTGGCTAATGTACGTGGGTCCGTAGTGAGTTGAACATGTAGCAGGAATAAAAATACTGTGAATCTTTGTGATGTTTATCGACTAAAACCGTTACGCCTGCCACACTGACAGGCTACGTCAGCTTTTTGCTGACTGCATCTATTTCGGCAGTTTGCTTTGCAGACAGATTTAGTGTATACCACTGCTGCCACATCAGCTTGGCCCCTAAACTTTCTTACAAATGTCGTCATGTAACCTATCGTGGGTTGGACCACTAGATTTAAACCAATCTGAAAGAAGAGAAAACTGCTGCATACCAGTAACGGTAAGGCATTTGATCACATTTATTGGGGGCTGCACGCTACTGCCTTGCATGCCACTTGTAGTGAACGCATTAGATTGCGGTGTCTCAGATAAAGCCACAAAGTGTCAGTAACTGCGCTATTCACGGCTGCTTGGCGTATGTGCAACGGAGCAGTTTAGCATTATTTTCGTTCCGAATTCGATTCGCAGTTCTGCTACGCATCCCTGGCGAATGCAACGAAGTACGGGACAGAGGGAGCAGTGCAGGGTCTGTGGGTGGTCAACACCTAACCCCCATCGGTTTCAGATGCGGTTCCAGTGGCCAGAGTTTGCCTCGAAGTGAATCGCGCTCCAGATTGAGGTTGGGTGGTGCAGTCTATTCTGTACTGGATGTTTCAAATAAATCCCTCGCAGGTGTTAGTCTGTACCTCCATATAACTAATCGAACACATGCCTAAGTATCATGAAATACGCACGCATCTAGTCCTTCTTTCGAGGACCAGTACAAGAAGAAAATTATCCTCCTGTTATCGTGAAGTAACGTTCGTAAATGCCAGCGCATTTGCAGGTTGTTGACTATACAAACCTAACCTGGTCCACGGATGTGTGCGTTGTAGACGGCGTGCACGTCAGCGGATTGATTACCCCGTTCTTTTTCATTAACAAAATTAGAAAAAAAGACTGCAGATAATTATTTTTTGTGGACGTTTATGAGTAGTGTAAAGTTCGTAGAAAATAAAAGTCACGATGAAAATTCACACACAATAATGTGCCTCGACGGGGAATCGAACCACGGTTCACGAATTTCCGGTCCGCTGCTCTACCACTGAGCTACCGAGGGCTGACGATTAGGTGCGCAAATTTTAATACATGCCTTCTGCTTGGTGCGCGACGTATTGCCAATGCGCTCACAGTACCTGTCCTGGTGTTGCAAATTCGCTCGTGACTTCTACTTTCTACCAACTTTACACTACTCACAAACATCCACAATTAATCTACCATCGCCCATTGGACATCCGAAGGATAGGTACTTCGGTCCATTGGGAAGTGACGGGTGAGTGAGCCAATCTGCAACACCAGGACAGGTAGTGTGAGCGCATTGGCAATACGTCGCGCACCAAGCGGAAGTCACGTATTAAAATTTACGCACCTAATCGTCAGCCCTCGGTAGCTCAGTGGTAGAGCAGCGGACCGGAAATTCGTGGACCGGGATTCGATTCTCCGTCGAGGCACATTATTGTGTGTGAATTTTTAATCGTGACTTCTACTTTCTACGAATTATTCCGTTGGTAATTTCTTGGGGCTACACTGAGGATAATCCAATGAATAAAAAACTAATGCACATCTGAAACCTGATGCAGCATCGGTGGCCAGTTTATTTTACAGCGTCTCCTGTTTAATCATAAGGGATCCAATTTGTATTCTGATGAATCTCTGACGGCTGGGATGGTAAGCGCATCGATTCAGACAATCCAGAAGGCCGAGTAAAATAAACTCAGTCGGTGCATTTTAGTGTTGCTACCGATTGGGGCCCCATGTACTGTGTCTGAATCACCAGTAGCGCCTGATCAAACATTGTTATATATTTCAATCTGACTGGTCTACTTTTTGCATTTTCCATGTGCACGTACTACAAGTCGCCTTCATCCCGATAAACGAAAATACATACGTATTGACAAAAATGATGGAACGGACATTTCTAGAGACGGTGGTTTCCGAAGCGGATGATACAACGCTATCGAGTGTAAATAGCTTGGATGATTTGTGGAAGGTGAGTGTGAGTGTATTTATTTTCCATATTCCGGTGCATATTACAATTTAATAATGAAAATTATTTTTTTAACTTGGTGTCTGGTTATTTTGACTGGTTTGTTAATTCGTGAAAACAATAATCGAGTCAAGGTTTGTGCACCATTTCCAATGAGTCAGTTACATAAGGTTTTGGGGTTGACCGCAGCACATAGGTGTATGTTTCTTGATAACACCGAGGGAGACTAGTCATTGTACGCTTACAGTTTGTAGCACGCTGCCAGCTTGACTGGTAGTTGCCCCGAAGCATAACATTGGTTGGGCTGCGTCGACCCTTCAGGTGACTCAAAGTGCTGCCAAAGTGGACTGTCATGTGAAAAGAGAATCTCACTATTTCCTGTAGAGCATATAATGAAGAATGTGAATGTCCACGTAGTAAACTGTCTGGGAACCAGCTTGCGGGATAGCTCGGTATACCGCGAAATGTAATACCCAGAGCTGAGAGAGGCCCGGTGGACTGGTGAACACTGCCAGTAAGTTTTTTCCACTGGGGATGACGTGGAAACTAGGGTTAGCGTACCTCAAACACCACTCCATTATTTGATTAGTCCATGTTCCGCTGTCTCTTGTCCCTAAAGTACTATTTCGCCGTCGCTCTAACCCCTCAAACGGCCAAGGCTATAACCGACTGAATTAAAGTCGTGGAACCAATTGTCACAGTACACAGCTGTTCATACAAATGACAAGCCCTTCAACAGACAAAACGCAAAAGAGAAGTGTCGTCGAAGTCTCAATGTTTAGCCAACAACACCTCGACGTCGGCTCTATAAACCCAACACCCAGGTGTGCGGAAATCAAGTGGTTTGACAAGTGTCGTTTGAAACAAAGCTAGCTCGTGCTCAGGCAATGATTAGAATGCTCGCCGAAAACCTATCAGTCAGACCATGGGTTGTGTATTATAATGTCACCATAATTTCCTCCCACTTCGGGACGATGTTCCTACAGCGAATAGGGATGACACCAGTCTTGTGGAGTATGTATGCGAACAGCTAGTTGGAGTAAAATACGGCTATTGACAGCAAATGTTTAAATAAGGACCGTAGCTGGCGACATCTAATCACTGGTTTGCCTATCGCCATAATTCACAGTCAAAATAACCGACTACTATACTCTGCTGCAGTCACTTCGATTGGCCGTACGACGTCTGCAGTGCCGACAGTCGGTTCGAGGGTAGCACAGCTTATTTGATCGGAATGACTGTAAATAGCAATGAAAAACCGTAAACTCTGTCATATATTGAAATTTCACAGACGTGAATAAATACCCACTGCGACGCATCCTGCAACCCCGACCGATCAGTTATCCTTGTATAAACCAGAAACTGCTTATAACCTTGACATGTAATTACAACTACAAATAAGTACGCTCGAGAACTTCATGGATTTTGTCCGTTTCTCTGCTTAGACATATCATCGATCGCATTGTGTTCGAGGTATTGTCGATACCTATACATAACCGATTGTGCCTGCTTAGGTGTGTCTCATGTAATGATTAAGTTCTGCAAACAACCCAAGAGCTTAGCCCAGACCATCATCCGTCATTTAATTATAATAGGTATATTTCTCAGAAAGGTGAGACACGTTCCAGAGACCCTGGACCGATCATTATGTACAAGTTTTCTCTGAAACTGAAATTGTTTATCGGATGCGAGGAGATTTGTATTGAGTGGGATTGGATTCAAGTTGTAGTTTATTCTTTTGCAGATCCAACTTTCTTCGGTAGCAAGTATCTCATCGTACCGTTGAACGAGTTGTGGTCCGGATCAACGTAAATAGAAGGGAAATAGCAAGTATTAGTAAGTATTAGTGCGATGGAGGCCGAAAACTTCCTAGGGAATTATGTACATGTGTGGAATCGAGAATAATATAGTGTGGGGAGTGTCTCGCAACCAAATTTCTGGACTCAGTCTAAGGAACAGCAGTATGGGTCTGGCTAACAGGGAAAAATAAGTCCACATTACTGCACAGTGAAAAAGGGAAATATTTAAGCAACTACCTTATTATTGTTTTGCGGATGTTGTTTACAATTAGGAGGCGCAATACGGATTTCGGATTACTTAAGATGTGTGGGTTGTGGGCTGTGAACAAGAATGCCGAACCTTTAGTAGTTTGGCTAACTGCGCTAGGAGTTTGATTATGCAGGGAATTGGTCCAACAGAACGCCAGTGATATGTTTACGAGGTTACAGTAGTCCTGAGTGGCAAACATATCGATGTTGACAATGTGTCGGTTGATTCACCAGCAAGATATGGTCAAGTGAAAACCGAAGCTTTGTGTTGGGGAGCAAGGTGAGTTGAAGATGTAAAGAAAAGATCCGGGTGCTTTACCTACCAAAGCGTCAGTGCTTTCACAAACGAATGGTAGGTGTGCCAGCGGGTGAAACGGAAGTGAAGTTACGATTGGAGAGATAGTTAACCGGATTTGGGAGTCCAGCTAACCAAGTTGCCAGTGATTCAACTGACACATGGTTGCAATGGAGCCAAGTAAAATCAAGGGGAAGTATAGTGAGCCAAGATGGGATGAAGCGGATAACAGAAGCCTGGACCTCCAACCCATCGATGTATCAGTGGAGCCACTAATCAGCGGTGAGCTTTCGGGCAGGCAGATCCGGAGTGGGCAATAAAAGAGAAGGGTAAGCAGGGAATCAACGGGTGTTTGTTGATCTGACTGATACAGTCATTTGCAACTTTCAGTTATATGTTGTCTGGACCTTTTTCATACGTTTGTTGAATAGTTGTAGGGCAACGCAGGAGCATAATCACTTTGCTGACTGCAAGATATTCGTCAAACTTTCTACGAAAGTTATATTCAGATGTGCTAGTACGAATATCGGTCGGCTATTTGTTCCAAATACGGGAGTACCGATTTAGGAAAAAGTTTGCTGATATGTTTGTCTTTGACCTTCTTACCATCACAGAATTTTCTCTATTGCGTGTATTGTATCCATTTGGTTTCATGAGTGATAGATCAATGCTAGGGGTGTGGACATTTTTGTGCAGGATATTGAAAAAAAGCGCTAAGTTTACTTTTAGGCGTCGAAGCCATATTGGGTCAAGCTTAAGTAAGTCGCATCGCTCAAAATAGGGTAACACTAAGCTAGTACCAATACGGTGCTTTGTAAACGCTCTTTGTACCTTTTCTATGGCGATACGATCATGCTTCCTGGAATTGCTATACACCATTGAGCAATATTCAAGTACAGGGCGGGCGAATGATTCATACATTGAAAAAATTGAATCTCGTAGAGCAAGATGTTTGAATGGTAATGCAATGCGTTGTTTAGCTCTGGCTGTTGCATAAAATGCTTGTTCTGAGCAGTTAAGGGAATATGAGTAGCGAAGCCCTAGGTCACAGATGGTCTGACAGATAGTAAGTGGTTTGCTATCTAGGGTCAGAGCATTGTGCTTAACATTGCACCTGTATAACATCGCGCTACATTTGTCAGTGCTGAAAGACATTTTCCATGTGTTGCACCAAGCCTCAAGCGCATGGAGGTCCAGTTGGATTTCCATTAGAGTATTGCTGAGGTTGGTAGGATGGAAGGAGTACACTATTTTGATGTCATCGGCGAAAAGATAAGGTGTGCCGCATTTAACTACGCTGAAGACGTCGTTAACGTAAAGTAGAAATAGCAATGGACCAAGAACACGGCCTTGTACCACCCCACTGGTAACAGCCTTGGGTTGAGATTTTTTTTGGTGGATTTGTACTATCTGGGAGCGATCTGAGAGATATGAGCTAAACCAAGCCAGTAAGGGGTCCTTTATACCGTAGGTTTGGAGCTTAGCTAGTAGGCGACTATGAGGTACGCGATCGAAAGCTTTTTGCATGTCGAGATAGATGACGATTGCCGATAAGCCACGATCCTGTGAACTGACAAGGTGATTTAAAAATTCTAAGTGACAAGTGATGCAGGACCTGGAGTTCAGGAATCCATGCTGTGAATTGTTTACTAAGTTTCGAGTTAATAGGAATTCAAGCGTTTTCGACTTTACATGTCGCTCCATCATTTTAGACAATACTGATGTGCGACTAATCGGTCGGTAGTTTTTTACGTCATACAGTGAACCTGATTTATGACGGGGCATCACTATGGCCTCCTTCCACTGAGCCGGTATGATACCAGAATTCATAGATAAGGTGAACAAATTCAGTAGCAGCAAGGGGATGTCATCTCCCCCGAATTTTATGACAGCAGATGGGAGATTGTCCGGACCAGTGAAATAGGAGATTTTAGTGGACTTTATGAGCTTTTGGATATCGCACAGATTGAATGTGATGTTGCTGAGTTGATCATTCGTGTGATGTTGCAGATCCAGGGTCGCAAGATCACTACATTCATTAAACGAGGCAGCAAAATAGTTGTTGAACATTTCGCTGGTATAAGTCGGGTCACTCACTAAGCATTTATCTGCAGACATAAGCGAGATAACATCTAGGTTCTGTTTAGCGGTCTTGCGCTTAAGCAATCTGAATAGTTCCTGTTTTCTATTTTGGCTACCGAGTGCTTGTTTTTCTTTATCAATCAGCATGGCCTAATTGGCATTCTCCTTAATAGTAACCAATTGCTGGTGCTTTATTAAGAAACAGAAGTCATTAGATTTACGATACGCCTTGAGCAACTTTTTGAGCTTTACAGCTAATTTGTGTTGTGTAGGCCTTTCTCCAGAGACAGGTAGTTTTATATGCTTTCGCGGAATCGACACATCTACTGACCGATGGATGTTGTTATATAACTCATCTGCTGCAGTCTGAGGGTCGCTAGCGAGGAAGAATGTGTCCCACTGCGCCGATCTTATCAAGCTTGCGGAAAGGCCCCAGTCAGCGGTTTTGTAGGAGCTGATAATCATGTGTGTTTTTGATGAGGGTGTTTTTGACAACTGAGCATTGACACTGAATGAAAAAGAGATCACTCTGTGATCACTACCGGGAAAATGTCCCAGTATCTCGGTGGAAGCTGCAG